TGAGTTTTGCACTGCTCCGGCCAAATGGATTGCATAAGCTGAGGTTTGACATCTTGGGCATAGGAACACAAAAAATGAGTGTACAAGCCCTTTTTCTAAGTGGGCTGCTTTTATAACACTCTTTCTGAATAAGGAGCCTGAGCTGACACACTCCCAATTGTTAATTGACTATGTTTCTCTCTCGGTCGATAGTTGAATCCACAAAAAATTTTGCAGGACTCCCAACCGAAATCAGGGGGCAGACAAGACTCCTTGGAAGGTTTAGTGCTTGAAATCTGACTGCACTGTTGCACATTTCTAATCTGTGAGCGTGGATATTAATGGAAGTTTTGTGATATCTTTTATGCAGATGTATCTCAAAATGGCAATGGTGAACATGGTTCTCAAAATGGAGGATCAAGTACTCCACATGCAACGGTGAACCAATCAGTGGCATTGGTGCCAATCGCTGCTGCTGGCCCAGCAGGTGTTCCTGGTCCCACTACAAGTTTGAATATTGGAATGGATTACTGGGGTACTCCTGCTATCCCTGCAATTCGTGGGAAGGTTCCTTCTACTCCAGTTGCTGGAGGAATGGTCACTCCTGGGTCAAGAGATAGTGTTCAGTCTCAGATGTGGCTACAGGTTACCTCAAAGTTTTGATTAAGACCTGCAGCTTTCCATTTTGTGTATTTGTGGCAATAGTTGCTTGGTTAAAACAGCCAAGTATATTACTTAGCCTTTTGTTTTTCTATGGCATCAACAATTTAGCTTCAGTTCTAGACATTAGAAATACATTCACAATGAATCTGGTCTTATTGTTCATTAGGCCACAAGAAGCTTCGACATAAGGTTTTTGCAGTTATGAGGGGCTCCCATTGCTTTCTAATAGATGTCACTTGTTCTATAATACTGTAGCTTTATGCTTCTTACTAGTCTTTTCCTACACCAGTTTGAGTCCTCTGTAATGCTGATTGGATTTGCTTGCATGGCGCTGATGCTTGCAGATTTGCATATTGGCACATGTACTTTGTGTAAATTATATTGGTGCAGTTGGTACGCATGGGGTTTAGAAGCACATTTTTTATGTAGGACATTAATACGTAGCTATACAAATACCTTATAGAGCTAGCACATTTTAACTCAATGTGCTTCATTTTTTTTTCTTAAAAAAAGTATCTGCACCTTTTATGTTGGTTTTAGGATGAAAGAGAACTTAAACGGCAGAGAAGGAAGCAGTCAAACCGAGAGTCTGCTCGGCGATCTCGGCTTCGGAAGCAGGTAATTGCAATGGTTTCAAAATCAATTCTTGTTCAGGTACATGCATCCACTGATTACAGCAATGAAGTTTGTTGAATACATTTGCATTGAGCCAGGCTGAATGTGACGAGCTTGCGCACCGTGCTGATGCTTTAAAAGACGAAAATGCCTCTCTAAGAGCTGAAGTGAGCCGCATCAGGAGTGAGTACGATCAGCTTCTTGCGGAGAATGCTTCTCTGAAGGTGATATAAAAGATGCTTCTCTTGTTTCTCTTCCTCTGTTGTTTGCCCATCATTACCTCCAGAATTAGTCTCTCGTTAACCCAACCTCGTTCTCTGGTGACCGTTTAAAGTTTATGGTCTCCTTTACATAAGATGCTATTGCTACCAAAACTAACTGATTAATGATCAATCATCCATGCAGCATAACATGGGGTAGACATTAATTGCCCATTTAAATGGAAGTATGTATATTTTTTGTTCGGGGCGAGCCTAGCTGATTGCACGCATTAGTGCATGCACAACTACAGATCAATGCGTGTGCGCACCCATAACACACAGCACATGTGTGCATCCACGAACCGGGGGGTGGGGGAGACAGATTTATAGCCAGTTTGACCTGTAAACTCCCTGTTGAACTATCAACACAGAACAGCATCTGATTTGACTCCTAAAATACTTTACACCACACTTTTGCAGGAAAGGCTTGGGGAAGTTCCTGCGCATGAAGATTCAAGGTCTGAACAAAGACATTTGAACAGTGAATCTCAGAAGACAGCAAAGCCTGAACATGGCCAGAGTGCTCACTAGTGTTATTGGCTACCCTGTCATGCTGGTTTCTGGAGTGTAACCTAACCAACTAGCAACAGGAAGTTCTCATTTTACGTAGTATGTAGTTCCACCGCTTATTGAAGCTGACCTTCATAGTTTTAGGATATGTTAATTGTCTTGTCTTAATCATCTGTCAACAAGCCTTATAGTTGAGGATGTAGGATTGGGCTTGAGCACTGTGAAGTTTGCCTTCCACCCTTATTTTTCTCTGTTGAGAAGGGTAGCATTCACACTTATGTGTACCGAGTACTGTTGATTGACGTGTAATCCAGATAATTTAATGAGCTTGAGTATGCTGTTAACGAGCGAGTTCATCTATGTGCTGTTCTTGTTATTCTCATTGCTTATTGGGCACTGCAATCCATTTTGAGTTTTGCCTCGCAAAGATCCAAACATCTACTGGCATAATTGTATCGGGTGTATAGAGACATCTGATGATATTGGAATGACGGATGATTAACATGCCCCTCCACAACTGGAAAAACCTGGAGTTGATTACCCGAGCTGTCTTTCAGAGACCTTAGTTCATTGCTCAACGTGCATTGAATTGAACTGATCATATGGTACTTGGCCTTTTGGTGTTCAGAAATTCCTGCATGTGGTTTTTGAGCATGTCCAAGGGAAGCTTTTGGCGACAGTTTTTCCTACGGTGCGACTGCGACGATGAACTGTACAGAGGAGATGATTCGAAATCAGGGAGTTTTAAGGACATCGGAATCTTTCCTCCGATCTAATCACCGGGCAAGAGCTAGAAGTGTCGAAGTTTAGTCGAGCGATGACATTTTGAGCCTTTGATTTGAAAAACTGAACTAAGAATTCTCTTTCTTTATTATCAAGTGAATTACTGTTCATGACTTAGGATTCTCGTGCCCGAGCACATTATGCCCAGGCCTGGTTTTTCTGATTGCTCAAAAATAAAATACAAAACGCAGTAGAGAAGACTCGGATTTAGAAAAATAAATAAATTAATCTCACTATAAAACTAAGGGTCCGTTTGGTAACGTGCCAAACAGTGAAAATTTCTGTTCTTTTGTTCCCAGAAATAGTTTGGGAACAGAAATGCGTTTGGTAAACTTTTTGTTCCCAGGCACATTTTTGCAAAAATTTGTGCCCAGAAACAGTTTTGGAAGAGAAACAAGAAGTAAAAAAAAGTTGCTTCTTGTTTCTCGGCACAATTTTGAGAATGAGTTCTTTTTCTTTTTTTTATCTTTTCTTCTTTGTGTTGTTCTTCCCTGGGCTGTGGCCGGTCACCGGCGGCCGGCCATGGCCAAAGAAGGGAAGGGTAGAAAGAAAAAAAAATAAAATTAAACAATTTAAAATATTATTAAAATATTATTAATAAAAAGAAATTTTGTGTAGTTACTAAACGTATTTCTGTTCTTTTCTATCCCAGGAATAGAAATTTTGGACAGTTACCAAACGCCTTCAAATGCTCAGAAATTGTTTCCGGGCACAGAATAAAAAAGAATCATTTCTGAGTAGAAATAGTTCCCGGGCACAGAATGATTGTCATGCGCATCCTAAGTTACACCACGCGAATTGCATTGATTGAGTTCAAATACATACGACCTAGATTTAGACAAACACATCTCAATAAAAGATTACGACTTAATAAATTAGAACACCACATTAAACCAGACGGATCAATTACATCTTCTCATCACAAAGATACAAACAAGTGCACCTACATAGCACCCAGACAAACACATCTTGCAAGAAAATACAGATCTCAATGCCGTAGGCCGCTCCCTCCATCACCATGAAATAGGACGAGATGGTGTCGTCCTCCTTCGATGCCTCAACTTAAGCATGTTCCTCCGGCGTCAGAATTTTCCATTAACCAAGATATATAGACCACAATCATCTCCAGATTCTTATCGAACGAAATTTGCTTGTTGTCCTCGATGATTTGGCCAGCCCTCCTGAAAGTCGCCTCGGATGATACAGTTAACGCCGATGGAGTAAGAATGTCCCGAGCCACCATGGAAAGAACAAGACAAGGGGAAGATTTGGCCTTCCGCCGGTGGAAAGGTGAAAGTTCTCATGGCCAACTTTCTTGATGCAGCTCGAGTCATCCTTCTTCATGGTTGCAATCTGTCATAATTGTGCTCATTCTAACGTGGAATCAATGAAAAATGCATTGTAAATCACTCTTTGATCATACGAATGTTTTGTGATTTCTGATCACTTTCACTGATGTAAGAAAGAAGAACATGGTTAATATGGAAATCACTTTAGGACAATTTTTTTTTTTCGTGAGAGCGATTAAAAATAGAATACTGTTCAATATATTGAGATTAATTTATTATATTAGTAATCTAAGTTATATGATATATTCTCATTATGTATTAAATACAATTCGCCTTTCAGAAATATTCACTTATAATTCATCGCTTCAAATGATCCCTGAATTTTAGTTCAATGTGCAATATGGTGCATAAACTTTTAGTTTGTTCAATGTGGTTCCTGAACTTTATCTCAATAAGCAATGTAGCCCTTGAACTTATAATTTTGTTCAATGTAATCACTGGAAGTCAATTTAGTTCATGCATTTAATGAAAATGTTCAATATTTCTCTTCCATTAATTTAAGTTCAGAGACAATATTGAACATTTTCATAAAGTGCGAGGACTAAATTGAATATGTTCCAAAATTTCAGGAGTTACGTTGAACAAAATTATAAGTTCGGGGATCACATTGCAAATTGGGAGCAAAGTACGTTGAACAAATTGAAAGTTTAGGGATCGCATTACACATCGGACAAAAGTTCAGGAACCATTTTGTGTCATTTTCCCTTAATTTAAATATATCAATTTCGTGGCTTCCTAGAGCTGTGTTGCTCCTGAAAATAAAAATAAAAAAGGTCTTTTTATTAAGGAAAAAAGAAAGAGGAGAGGAGGAAAATATCAAAAAAAAAATCAACGGAAGCAAACTGCTTCGACCACACTCTTCTACTGTACAACCTCCTCCGACATCCTCTCTCTCTCTCTCTCTGTGCCCGGTCGTGCGTGCTTCGCCCCTCAGCGACGCGAGAATTTTCGAGGGGGGAAGATGCAGATTTTGGGCGCGACGAACGACGTGTTGATGAGCATTCCGTCGGCATCGGGTGGAACCCACAAGTCCCCTTCCGAGCTTAGGCATTTCCACAATTTCTCGGACTCTAAGTTCTTCCTCTCTGGTGGTTTCGTCAAGGTGTGCACTTTCTCCCTGTATGGTCGAGCAGGTCGAAAATGTTCTAATGGGTGTCCCTTGGTTTGATGCTTTGCGAGAGGGGCGTGCGCTCAATCGAGTGAATTCCCCCGTTTCGTTGCTCGTGTCGTTGTGGGAGGTTGCTAGATTACGCTGGCCCGATGGTGCAACCGGCTAGTCAAATTGGAGCTTCTGTGTGGGACGTAGTTGATGCTTCTGTTGTGGGTCATTTTGGATGGTGTGATAAGTGGTAGCTTTTGGAGATGGAGTCATAGTAGTGCCGTGGGCAGGAAGAACTTCTTGTGACATTGGTTTTGTGTAGCGACGTCACAAAACTCTAAACGGCCATTTAAACAAGTGGGGCATATTCAAGAACCCAACAACATGAGTTTGCCATAGCATTTGTGAGCAACCGTTAGCATAAACTCTTTGTACTCCTGGCATCGTTCTCGATGATATGAATGCTGCATGTTGACAGTCTGCTAGCTTCTTGAAAGTGGAATATGTCGATATGATGGAGAGAGTATGAGGCCTCACGCTTGCCCTTGTTATTGTTGGGTTGCAAGTGGGGTTTGCAATTGTATAGAACAATTATTATTTGTTGATACACTTCATATAGGTCCTGTTGTGCTTTTCGGGAACAGGTTGGGGTTGGACTTTGGGGAAAGTGAATAATGGAGCATGATATGTCCATCTGCTTGCTTTTATATGTTGACTGGTGTTTTAGTAGTGGATGCATATGTTGCATTCACTGAACCCTGAAATGTCTAGCATAATGTACGTGTTCCTCACAAAGTGTTGTCTTTTCTAGAGATGCCGCTCTTTTGCTATCCAGACATTAGGAAATGGGCGGGGAAAGTATCGAGCAAGAGGCTCAATGATTAGAGCCTCTGGGGATTTAAGTGACAACCTAGTCCCGGTTGCGCCTCTAACATTTGAGTCTCCGATCGGACAGCTTTTGGCACAAATACTCCAAAATCATCCACATTTACTTTTAGCTGCTGCTGACCAGCAGCTTGAGAACCTCCAAAGTGAAAGAGATGCTGAAAAAGAAAAGAATCCTGCATCAGCAGATCTACTCTACCAGTATGTGGTTCTGTCTTTGTCCCCACTCTCCTTCTACTTACTAGTTTTCTTCACTTGAATTTGTAGTCGTTTCTTTTCGTTCGGCTATTAAGAACCATAAGGTCTGCAGCTTGAAATTTGGCTTTGCCATGGGCTCTCTGACTTGGAAAGTGAAGTGGTTTGAACATTATTGATCTGATACTATCAAAACTTGACACTGAGGGAAGAATAAGGATACTGGCGTAGCCTTTGCAAAATCAGTTCACGTCATTGTTGTCTTGTTTTATCTGATTATAGTTTGGTTTTGGTCATAAGCAACTGCAGATCTTTGTTTGAAGATAGTTCAATGTTATAATTCACCAACTTGTTAATATTGCTCGGTGCTGATCGTCTGAGAGACAAAGCAAACAATTGAAAAGTAACCCAGGCATGCTTAGTCATAGTGGCCCACATTTGGCTTTGGCCTGGTAATAGCCACAATAGAGGACACCTGTTGTGTTTGGGTATATTGTAGTCAGCTTGTTTGATTTAGCTGTTGTGGTTTGATCGCCTCTTAATTTGAGTTAGCCACCTCCTTCTTTAGTTGACAGTTCTTTCATAACTTTATGTATCTTGAAATTTTACAAATAGTCTAGAATGTGTCTTTTGGTGCTTAAAATGATGAATGTTTTCATTCTATGCTAAATTAGGGGTTGATCATTAAGTGAAAGTGATGAGAGCTATGATAAAGCACTCCATATCAATAATGATATTTATATCTAATGCTGTGCCTTGAAACATATTGACCTCATTCAAACCTGGAGACCTGCTCCATAGTCAGTAAGACTGGTCATTATTGTAAAATTGATGGGGTCCAGTTTTTTGGTATTTTAGGGAGCATAGTTAAGTTGTTATTATTGATGCGCTTGGGCACATTGCATTGTGGCGCATTGACTTATGAGTCCAATCCAGAATGGACAAAATTGAGCCGATACCAGAACAGGTAGCGGAAATATATGAAAGTTCATGGAGTTTTGTCAGATTTTTATGAAGAATTGAAAGGCCAAGACCTTAGTTATTTCACTTCTGGGGAAGTATAGAAAGTTTGACATGATGGACACATCTACTTGAGTGCCTTTATCTTAGTAAGTATATTCCCCTTCCTATGCTGGGCAAATGATTACAATGCGGTGGATTCTTGTGCTTTTCTTTTTACCCTGTTTCGCATGTTATTTTCTTCCTCATTTACTTTCAGATTAAAATATGATTTGCCTCTTTCTCTCGTAGCTTTAGTTTTTCGAGTTTATCATGGTATAAGAGCCATACATGTCGGGTTGGATTGGATTCTTTATGACCCTTGTCTGCACAACTGTGGCTTTGCTTTCTTTATGCATCTCGTGTTTGTACACTTCAAGCCTTCGTGATCTTATTGGCCTTTGCATAAGGGAGAGTGTTGAGATGTAAAATATAATCCGCTCGATCTTGAACTGTTAAATCTTAACGAAAACCATTCACACTCAAATTTAACTTTTGATGATCTAGCTTTTGGCGTATCTTTCTTCAAGTGGAGCCTAACATAATGAAGTGGTGGTCATTTAAATACTTGGAGCTTCTTTTTTGCTCAATTGGTTCAAAAGATAATACCAATGCAATTTTCGTTTCCAACGTTTCGATCCAGCTGTTCTTTGCTGGATGATCTGTCTAATGTGACCCTTTTTCTTGCACAGGAGAATTGCTGAGGTCAAGGAGAAGGAGAGGCGCAAAACACTGGAAGAGATAATATACTGCTTGATTGTGCAGAGATTTGTAGAGAATGACATCTCAATGATCCCAAAGGTTACAGCAACATCTGATCCCGCAGGTCGTGTGGATCTTTGGCCTAACCAAGAAGAGAAGCTCGAGTCTGTCCATTCTTCCGAAGCTTTTGAAATGATACAGAGCCACTTATCCCTTGTGGCTGGAGACCGGGTCGTGGGACCCCTGGATACCATTATACAGAGTAGCAAAATCAAACTTGGAAAACTGTACGCTGCTTCTATAATGTACGGGTATTTCCTTAGAAGAGTGGACGAGCGATTTCAACTTGAAAGGACCATGAACACTCTTCCTGAGGGATATACTGAGAATCGGGGGAGGTCGAAGGATCCAATACCGACAAGCCCATTTTGGGATCCAGATTCTTTGATCAGAATTCCACCTGATGATGGTAGCGATGGTGACGGAGGTGGTTTCATGGATTCTGAAGAAGGCAAAGTATATAGACTCCGATCGTACGTGATGTACTTGGATCCGGAGACTCTTCAGCGATATGCGACCATAAGATCCAAGGAGGCTATTTCCTTAATTGAGAAGCAGACACAAGCATTGTTCGGGAGGCCTGATATAAGGGTCGCGGAGGATGGTTCCATCGACACGTCGAGCGACGAAGTTGTCTCCCTTGCGTTCTCCGGGTTGACGATGCTGATTTTGGAGGCAGTAGCCTTCGGATCGTTCCTGTGGGACACGGAAAACTACGTCGAGTCCAAGTACCAATTTGTGAAAAGCTAGAGACTTTTTTTTTGGAAGAGTAGATGTTCTTGGGAGCTGTACAAAAGGGTAATCTTCCTCACATGTTTCTCTTAGGTTGTTCATAGTGCATCAAATCATCAAACAATGTGCTCATATTGATATACAGATATGGTATGTGATTTCGGACCCGGGTTCCATTACACCCTAAAGCGAGACGATACTTCAGATTGTTGCCGACCGTGCCAATCGACAGGGCGGTAGCTTTGTCTTCGCCGGCCTAAATCAATTGTCTAGTGCTGATTCATGAGCATATCTCTTGTGAAAAACCCATCTGTTCTCATCTTTTTGCCATTGCCATTGCCATTGCCATTGCCACTGCCACATCACTATTGAGTGTTAGGCAAACCTTCCAGCTCAATACGTTTCTATATTGAGGTAACCCGTTGGCTATATCTAGTTATCCTTACTAGTGTCAGTCTGAGTAACATTGGCAAAGCCTGTAATCACAGCGTGGCATTAAATACGTCGCCGTGATTGTAGGTCACGGTCCTTCCGCCTACAGACCGGACTTAATGAACTTTTCCTTTACCGTAATAGAACTGATTAATTTAAAAACCAGCTCAAACTTCCTTTTATTTCCCCTAATGCCCCTGTGTTCACTTTGATATTACCTAACCAGCCCTCTCAAAGCGCCTCTCACTTGTTTTTGCCCCCCCAATTTTTAGATGTGGACAATAATGCCCACCTACTGCCACCCGTTTTACCAAATTCTTGATTATCATTGAACCAAACCCAATCATTATTGTCATGAAGGAATTTGGCAATCTTGTTCTGGAGAACCCTTTTGGTGCCATAGTCAACGCTAGAGAGCGAGCTAGTTGCTATCTTGACTCCATTCGTGGAAAATGAATGATCTGGAAAGCATTTTCATAAAAATAATTACTTGTATCGCTTATAAAAATGAATAAACGAGTAATGCTTTCATTACCTATAAAATTTATAGATGTAAATTGTTGTCGATATTTTCAAAATCGTTCATTTTTCGCGAAACGAATGGATTTTTGACAAGGAATTCATCTTAATCATTGTTTGGAGTGATTCAAAGTGCTTGCTTATGCTTAGTATTGGCTCCCTCTAATCTGAGTGCGTGTGCATCATCATTCGTCTTTGGCCATACCATGCATAATAATTCACTCATTGACTTTCTCCTTTGCTTGCTCACATGGTTTATCGATGATTCATCATGTCGTGACATCATGAAATTGACCCCTGAAAACAACGCAACATGGGAGGCCCTCCCTTTGGACACATGCATACATCGGCTTTATGCTTTGTTCATTTATCTTGAAGCTTTTCCTGGGAAGACTTATCTTAATTATGAGTCATCGAGATCGATGGCGACATCTAGCTACTATTGAAAGGTCCTTATGTTTAGGAAAATGTTAACACAAAGATGATAGGGGCTTCGCTTGTGAGCTCACCCCACAAAAAATGATTATCAAATAACCTTATCTTTATCCCATTTGGTGAGAAATGAAAGAAGAAGTTCCAAAGCTTTTCCATGCTGGAGTTAGGTGGAACTAATCCCTCAATTCATATCAGATCGAATAAGAATCCAATTGGGTGGAGAGAAAATGATTCTAGGAAGCAAGGAAGGGCACTGTAATGACCAATATAATACAAGCATGGATTGTCTAGGTTCAATATAAGGACAAAGCACAAGCAGAGTTCTAAAATTGTGCTTTGCTGTGGCCTCGAGTGAGCTTCCTTACGTGCAGAAGCGAAAGATCCCTTCATCTTCGAACTGACTATACTCATCTCAGATAAAAAAGAAAGCATTAATTGAATTGATGGGACCTTGCGTATATAACCACTTCGTTGCCTAATCTGGCCGGACCAAGTCCACAACCCCTTTTCTCGTTGGAGTTATTCAAACTAAGATGAGTATTTTGTCTGAATGGATTACTTGCACATCGTTTTAAATATGTTGGTGGGAGGTTTTTGGTCGAAATCGGGTTGTGGGGGCGGATTTGTATCATCTTTTGGTAAATTCCCATTAGAACCTAGTAGCAACAGCTCGATCATCTCTCTAATGTTCCAGAATTAGTTTGAACATGTCATTTACACGACCTACAATTAATTTAGTTCTAAACTTTTTATCAAGATAAATTACATGCCAAAACAAGAATCACTCGTACCCTGTTGCCCCAATCAAGAGACAATACAGTTATCTATCTATGTCTCGTTCTAAATAATTGTAAACACACAGATTAATATACAATGATGTCATATATATACATATATATTATATATATCTTACTTGAATATGACAAATTCATTTAGAAGTACATAATGTTATCCTTAGGATATATAGAGAGAATCAATAATGTATGTACCAACAATAGTAGTTGCTCATAAATAAAATCACAATCATCAACAACCATGGACACCCCACAAAGGAAAAAAAAACCCTAAATACCCACAGTGGCAAATCCTTGATTTACTCCTCTTAACAAGGTCACTATCGCACACCATTTCCATCTCTCTCTCTCTCTCTCTCTCGATTGCAAAAAATATGTGTAATGACGTGGTTGATAGGTAATGCTATATATGCAAACTAATCACGGCAGGAAAAAGCAAGAAAGAAAAAGAGGTGGAGGAGAGAGAACGAAGAAACTTTTGGCCAACACAAAAGAAATTTTATGGATCCTTTGCGTCGCCTAATCCCTCTCTCGGTTACGACTTCATCTTCTTCATCATCTTCATCATCATCGTTCTTGATTGTTCTTCTTACGCTTCTCTTCTGTGTCGCCAATGCCGCCGCGGCCTTCGACGTCGTCCCCATCTCCTTCGACGAGGCCTACGCTCCTCTCTTCGGCGACGGCAACGGCAACGTCATCCGCTCCGCCAACGGCAAGAGTGTCCGCCTCCTCCTCGACCGCTTCTCCGGTATGCCTCACGCCCACGTATCTCTACATCTGCGTACGTGCGTGCACACGCACATATTCAAATGATCGATATGCGTATGTTAAAAAAGAATGATTCTTTTGTTTTTTTTGCAGGTTCCGGTTTCATCTCCTCCAATCTCTACAAGTATGGCTTCTTCAGCGCGAAGATTAAGCTGCCATCGGATTACACGGCTGGTGTTGTCGTCGCGTTTTATGTGAGTAAAAACAAGGGGATTTAGTTTCATGATCGTCGAATGCGTTTCTGATTTCCGGCACGTTTACAAAGTGACTGGGGAAATTATACATGTTGGATGCATGGTTTTAGTCGGATGTCATTACACGTGAAGAAATGATCTCACGCTTCGTGGGGTTGTCTTGTCATGCATGAAAACACGAAGCGTCGTTAGCAGAATTCTAGGAATTGGTAAGTTTGTTCGAGAGAGAGAGAGAGAGAGAAAGAGAATACTTCGAATATAAATTAAAAAGCGAACCATTTGATTGATGGACCGAATTGTAGGATTTGATTGGGGAGCGATGCTAATCAATCCAAATGATGTAAATGGAAACGAAGACCTAAGTTTATTTCGTTTGCGGTATTAAAATGGTAAGCAAGGATAGTCGAAGGTAAAACCTATCACGCGACTCGTTTTCTATGTTTTCCGCTAATATATCTTTACATAGAGATGAGCTTATTCTAGTCGATCACTTCCTCATGCATGGGATATGTATGAAAACCCAAAAGATGATATGTACGTTTCTCAATGATTATGAATGATCACGAACAAAGTGATGCGCAGACATCGAACGGCGACGTGTTCGAGAAGACCCACGACGAGCTGGACATAGAGTTTCTGGGGAACTTGAGGGGGAAGAAATGGAGGTTCCAGACCAACGTGTACGGGAACGGGAGCACGAGCCGAGGGAGGGAGGAGCGGTACACGCTCTGGTTCGATCCCACCAAGGAGTTCCATCGCTACAGCATCCTTTGGACCACCAACAACATCATGTGAGCTGCTTGCTTTTCTCCTCCATTCTTTTTGCCTCTTCTTTGCTGTCTTCATGTCCTAATTTTGGGTCCTCGACGCGGTATGTCTCTCTACCTGTTCGTGTAATGAGTGTTAACTACGAGTAGGAGGATGTCGATAGCGAGTCGAATCATTAATCGGAGCCGAGAGCTCGTCGCTAGCACCCGTCTCTTCTCTCGGAAGAGCTTTAAGCCCGGACCGCGTGTACGTCGACCCCGCCTCAATCCGATGTCGTGTCATCAGGTCGGGCGTCTAATAGCTAAGTCATTCTCGTTCGGCGACCATGAGAGATCAGTTGAATATTGACCGGAACAATTCGGACTATGTTTAATCCTTTTTTTATGGCCGATCTTTAGGCTAAGTTGCGAGAAACCCTTTGAAAGGGATTAGCTTCTTGGAGATATATGGCAAAGTTGACCCGGTCGTTTTAGTTTTAGAGCCAGAATTGGTCTTAGTTATACCGAGTTCATGCATTCAAACGTGTGCAAACAATTTCAATTTAGTGTGATATAAACTATCATATACGAACCACTTCGAATTAGTAATCCAACTCAGTCATCGCATTGATAGTAATCTAGCTTCTTGACATTATCGTCTTTGCAAATATAAAAATTAGATGTCCATGAATGATTGATTTGGTTTCGAAGAGCAATACTCTATTCTAAAAAGAGCTGGGACACCCCATGTCGATTCTTTTCTCGGTCGGTCCACATGATGTTAGCTCTCTTGCCTTAAGAACGAAGCATTAGACAGCTTGACCGTTGTTCTACTACACTCCTAGGAAATTGAAAAAGAAAGGAGAGCACCTAATTTTTCCTTTTTTGTGTCCCGTGTAGGAATGCGAGAATCATTGCTTGAATTCTGCTCTCTATCTCGCACATCTTTCTTCAAAATGCCGCAATCTTCAATCCTCGAGAATGGCGCGCAAGATTACATTAGGAAAAATTTCGGTCTCTAGACAATGACAAACTTTGACTTTAGGACCTTTCATTTTTTGTATTATGAAATGTTAAGTAAGGAATATGAAAAGCTTAACATGCATTTTTCGATTTACCTTGAGTTTTACTCCCTTAAGTTACATCAGATTATACTGTATACTGATCTGCGTGATGTGTTTTTGGGCACAGATTTTACGTGGATGAAGTGCCCATCAGAGAGATAATCCGGAACGACGCCATGGGCGGCGACTACCCGGCGAAACCGATGGCCCTGTACGCCACCATCTGGGACGCCTCCGACTGGGCCACCTCTGGCGGCCGCTACAAGGTCAACTACAAGTACGCCCCCTTTGTGGCCGAGTTCAAGGACCTCGTCCTCCAGGGCTGCCCCGTCGACCCCATCGACCAGTACCCAGCCGGCCACTGCTACGAGAAGCTCGCCCTCCTCGAGGCCCAGGACTTCTCTGCCGTCACTTCGCAGCGGCGCGTGGCCATGCGGCGGTTCCGGCAGAGCTACATGTACTACTCCTACTGCTACGACACTGTCCGATACGCGATCCCACCGCCGGAGTGCGTGATCCTCCCGTCGGAGAAGGAGCGGTTCAAGGACACTGGGCGGCTCAAGTTCGGCGGCAGCCACAAGCGGCGGTCACGGCGGAGGGGGCAGACCCCCGTGGTGTCGGGGTCGGTGGAGCAGCCCGTGATGTAGTTTGATCATTAGCTGTAATTACATGTGCCTAGACTTTTACATCTCATTTTCTTTCTTCCCCCTTCTATTGGGTTGGTCAAGATTTTTTGCCTTTCTGATTTTTGTGGCTACAAGCAGATAACACGAGGGGGAATTTTCACATGGCTTGAATAATCCAATTAAACATTGATCATCATCTCAATGTTTATTATGTTGATAAATGCTTGGAGTTGTGGTCAGACTCAGAAAATTTGCTGGTATGGTCGTGTAATCAAACAAAGTCACCTTCACAAGATCAGATGAGCATTGTCAATATGTCTGTTGTCGAATCTCATTAGATAAAATTGAGTTCTTGTTCGAATGTATCGAGTAAGGAATTGAATTACGCATCGGTTTACTCCGGAACGAGAAAAACGATTCGACTTCATGTTCCGAAGAACCAACGAACTTACTCGACAAAGAAGTCACGCTTCTAAGAAAGATGTCGTTTATTTTCTGAATCGATATACAAGAAACTGACGCATCACAGGTATAACACCCTGTAAACACAGAGAAGAAAAAAAGAGAGGCCTATTTCTGGGTGGTTGGTAAACTGTAGAGGCTATAGAGTACGTATGGCTGTTTAATGAATGAATGCAAGAATGAATGCTAGAAGCTAGCAAAGAGAACTATAAAACCACCCTACATCTTAAGGGTAAACAATGATATTCGACGATCATGCCGAGCTGTGCCGTCTTGTGTATCTTCCCCAACGAGCTGCGAAGTTAAGACTACGGGAACTGGAACGATCCCCCGATTTGAGAGTTATTCGATGGTGGATCGATAGCCACCCAGAGGAGGGAGATGGTGATCGCTAGAAGACCTGACCAGACATACACTATGGTCGGCGTTCTTCCTCGCCTTCCCATGAGTCCTTTCGCAAAAGGATATAAGTGCATCAAGACCCAGAGGCTGAAGAACACGCCGCCTATTAGTTCGCTCCATTGCGGGGACGTGCTATAGATGGTTCGAGAAAAGGCCACGGCGATCGCAATCAGATTGGTGAATATGATTGTGATCGGCGGTATCATCAGGGCTGTCCATTTGAAGATGTAGAGGTCCGCAAACTCGTCGTCGTTGTCGTCGCCTGACGATTTTGATGTCAGGGTGAACGAAATCTCGATCCCGGCAATCACCTTCAGGAGCCCCTGCAACACAGCAGCAAGATGGGCGCTCGTGCCGCCGATCAACCAGAATTGCTCGTTTCTCCACCATTCTTCCAGCGTGACACCGGACCATTTTATCTCAAGCAATGCAAGAAGGCAGAGAGTCACGGTGATCGATAGCAGGTAAGTAAGGAAGGCTACATTGAGCGATTGCACAATGAACTTCCCAGTGAACAGAGAGAGCGCGGGGAGAAAGCAGTAGACAATGAGAAAGAAGGAAGTGAATGGGTAAATTCCCACATTGAGGTAAGCAATCCTCTGAAGGAACTTCATCCTGCCGCTGGCCATTATGGCATTGTTGCGAGAGAAGAATATCTCCACCGAGCCTGTTGCCCACCGCAGGACTTGATGAAGCCGATCGGTGAGATTGATGGGCGCGGTCCCGCGGAAAGCATCTCTCTTGGTCACGCAGTATATGGATCTCCATCCTCTATTGTGCATCCTGTACCCTGTCACGACATCCTCTGTGACGGATCCGTAAATCCACCCTACTCGGTCACCCCACTCAGTTTTATCTTCGTACCAGCATGAGATGGCACTTATTGCCTCTGCAACTGTTGACGCATCAAGAAGCTGTCGAGGAATAGTAAGAGCACCAGGAGGCCGTCCATGTTTCACAGATGGATGGTCAGCAAGGGGTCGGCCTTGGAACTCAGCTACAGGTATGGAATCAATGAGCATATATGAATTCCCGAACTTCTTAGGAATCAGCGCAGTGGTCATTTCTTCATTTTCAGCGTCTTCCATTCTAAGTGAATGGTTTTCTCGCGAAATTTCAGGGGCAGAGGCAACAGATGCAGCTTTCCTGCGACGGGCAAAGAAGTGACTGCAACAAGTACTGCGTTCTTTCCTCCGAGGTGGGTCGAACCCATAAAGTGCAATCCTACGAAATAGACATCCGGTACCTACATAGACTGGGCCTTGAATGCCATCGAGAGCACGCATGTTCACATCAAAGAAAACCGTATTGTGGTTGGCATAGCGATCGGATGGGTCAATGCCTTCAAACCTCTGAGGAAACTGAACATAGCAAATTCTGTCCCCACCACGATCCATCATGAAGCATATACCTTCTCTCAGTGCTTCTGAGTTGTAGATGTAGTGGTCACAGTCAAGGTTAAGAATAAAGGGGCCATTGGACATTATCGCTGAGGCTCGAACAAGAGCATTCATGGCCCCAGCCTTCTTGTTGTGGTCATAACCAGGTCGCTTTTCCCGGGAAACATACACCAACAGGGGAAGACGAATGTCTACTTCAGTTAGATCCATAAACCTGGAATCAGCTTCTGTACCTTTAAGTGGTTCATCACTCGGAGGCTTCAACATCACCTGAATCAACGTAATCCATCTGATGAGCACATCTAGTTACGATTATAGATCAAAAGGGCCACCAGAAAGGTATGTGTTAAAGCAATCCAGGTGGTTTCCAGGAAAAACTTTCAAAGCAACAGTTTTACACAAAAAATATATTCAAGTGACAGAGTACAGTGGGCAAGTAATTTAATAAACTTGATGATGATCCAAGTGTTCACAAAAAAGTGAAGCGAGACTAGCAAAGAATCAACAAAAATTTATAACGGCGTAAAAGTCTCATTAAAACGTCTAAACTAGACATGAACCATCTAGAAATTTGAACTTTTGAACACTTGTAAAGAACAGCATAATAATCAGAAAATGAATCAGATTTTTACCTGAATAATGCTAGCATGATCACCTCGGGAGTGTTCGGGCGCAGTAACTGTCCAAGTGCCAGGCCAATGGGTTCCATCGGCCATCCAAGTAGCTTTTGGGATCTTCACATTTTCCACCTCATCATCAATAATAGCATTCTCTCTCTGCTTCTTCAAAGCCTTGATCTCCTCTCGAGCATTAAAAGCCTCTGAACGTCGCCGAATAGAGTCACCAAGACCATTTATTCGAACCTTAAACTCATCATACTCTCGCTTAATCCTCCTGCGGTCTCTGACAAAGTCTGGCCGGACTTTGTTCTTGTACGGATCTCTCGTCAGATTAAAATAGGAATCGGGATTTCTTGGCTCTATATCGTGCTTCCGGCAAAATGGCACCCACAAGTTGGCAAAACTAGCAGCTTCGGCCATGGCTTCAAATGTTAGTAGTGCTCCCCCATCATCAGAAACATAGCAGGAAAGCTTTTCGACCGGATAATCGGCTGCCAAAATGGATAGAATGGTATTTGCAGTCACAAGTGGAGGTTCTTTGTCTGGATCTGCAGTAGAGACAAAGATATCTATGCCTGGAAGATCAGACCTCCCAGTAGGATTGCCCTGATTAGGTGTTTCAAATTTCCTCTTTAGAACATCTAGGTCAGTAACGCGATCGATGGGACAGAGCTTCGGAAGCTGGTCAAGTAGCCAAGAGAATGCGAACCAGATTTCACAAACCACGGACATCCCCCATAACCACAACGCATCGTCATTGGGGTGCATGACCCTCCATGCCAAGAATAATCCAAGAACGGCCATTCTTGCGAGGATTAGGAGCCTAAAAGAGTATGGAGGATTGAAAATGTGTTAACTGGAAATTGACATGCTAAAGATAAGATCGTGCTATATCTCAGATGAAATATCAAACAAAGTTCACCGGGATCAATGTTACGCTACAACAATAATACTCTTAAGCCACCCTGATCAACATATGAATTATCACAGAGGGAGATGCACAAATTCCTGGTTAACGTGTCCATAGGTGTTATAGGAATATCGAAGTTGTTACGAAGAACAACAGACGCATTATCACAGTGATATTTCAGGAGAGCAGGATTCATTTGATGTTCTTTAACATACACCTGCCATAAAACCATCAGGAATTATAACTATTTAACCTGATTAATCTCGCATTAAGTAATCTGAAATGCATGCCATAGAGCAAATTCTGATAGCCCTGATCCTGCCTTCAAAATTTTTTCTCAAGTCTTTCTCAAAGTCAAACTAGCTAAGCCTTGCAAAGACAAATATGCAATGGGTCATTACAGAAGAAGAGTTGCCCTTCCGATCATGAATTTAGGGGAATTTGATTAGGTGAACTAGGCGCCACTTATCAAGAGATGATAGACAACATTAGGGGGTCAGTTTTCTCCTAAATTATAACATGCCTCAGCTGCAATTCAATGCTCATGAACAAGGATTTCTATGCAGAACTTGTGAGCAGGACTGGGATATGGTGCGCAAATTGAAATTTTAAGGGGCTAGAAATATGAATCACCTGTACGGACTAAGAATGGCAGCTGATATTGACAATTTGCGAGTAAGCGGCCTCCATTGCTTGTCTTTAAGATCTTCGGGCTCGCCAAACCCGTCAGAATTTCCATCCGCATCATCCTTTGGCCACATAGCACTTCCATATCCATAGCTCCCCTTAGTTTCGAATAGCCACTGATTATTATCAAACTCATTGGCGGAACTCCTATTGAAGGAAGCAGACTTCATCATGGACAGCCTCCTCTCCATCTTGGACAACGCCTGTGATTTATCCAGCTTCATTACCTCCGCATTCTTCCCTTCGTAGGCCTCCTTACACCCGGGACAAGTCCCATCCCCGCTCCTCATCACATCCTTGTAACAATCCCGGCAAATTTTGAAGCCGCACTCGCAAGGCACCACATCATTGCCTCTCTCATCGCTCATTACTCTGGCATCGCACCCGGGTAACGCGCACTCCGATCCGTTCACGCCAGTCATCTGCGGATGGCTGCTTTCGGACTCGATCACCTTCTCCTTCAAGCTTGCCCGCGTGGCGAGGTTGTAGCCGCCGGTGAACAGCGAGCTCGAGGCGTACTGATCCTCGACCCGCTCCTTGGAGGATGGCAGTTTGGACAGTTCCATCGGCTGGTTATCGGGCGTGGGGGGAATATGGACCGTGTAGTTAGCGAAATCCGCACTGCTCTGCAGATCGCTGTCCAGGTCATCCCTGTAGTGGCTGTACTGGGGAACCGCAGGCGGTGTCCTCGTGCGGCGCGAATCGGAAGGCATTGCGTCGATGAATTCCTCTGTTCTCTT